CTTTTGTATTTCAGTTACGAAAACTTTAAATACTATGTTTTATCCCAAAAGAAGAAAGAGGAAGAAACAAGCTATCTCTTACTTACTGTGTAGAATCAACCTTGTAAGAATATTCACCACCCCATATTGTTGTGTCGTAAGAGGTGACAGAGGAAAACAACACGGCAGTAGGCAACGTCTCCTCATCGTCATCTGTTACTCACTGTGTAGAATCAACCTTGGAAGAATATTCACCACCCCACACGGTAAGAACAAAATAATAAAAAACTGCGGTTGCGGAACCGTTTGCAAAGCATGGCATCTTTGTGAACATTTAATATGCTGTGATGATAACGGTTTTAAGAAAATGCCCATCTCCTGTTTCAGTTTCCCTCTATCCGTCACCCTTTACAATACGACGAGATCAATAAATATAGGGTAGTGAATTCATTTACGCCATCACTACAGAAGTATAATCTCTTTTTCCGAACCAGAAGTGAAAGTTAAACAATTACTTTTAATATGTGTACTTGTAATCTAAACTATTCCAATATAGCCATTAAATATAATTTAACTCAAAATTCAAGCTGATTAATGCAGTCTGTGCAAAATAATTTAAGAGATAATTTACAATTAGTATTTATTAAATAATTAACTTGAATTCATTATTGAGTACACTTACCGCAATTTCGTCCTAAATTGCTACGTACATTAATAATAGTCACATTAAAATTTAAATCTCTCTCAGGTTGCTATTGTCTATTCAACGAGTTAATAAGCTCTAGCGTGAGTTTTTCTGAAACTCTGGAAGCGAATAAGGAACATCATGAATAGGACGATAACACAAAGCGCCCTAATGTGATTAATTTTACTGCCTAAGATAGAAAACTCATTATAAATAACGCTGAAATTACTAAGAACCTTGAGGAAAGAAATTAAGCAACCCTTACATCCAATAGCGAGGTAAAATTTAATGTAATATTCAAATTAAGGCTCACGCAACATAATGCCTGTAACTTTAAATTTTAAAAACTATTCTTTTCTATTCTGCTACGGTCGTTATTTTATTTCACTATTTTATTTTTAAAAAAACTTAAGGAATTTTTTTATCAATTTAAGCTCATTTAATGGTATAGAACTTAAAATGTTTGTCCTAACTTAAGCTTTTTGTCCATACTTTGAATATTTCATTTTATTATTTATTTCCTCTTTTTAGGGTTGACCGTATAGAATGCCTTACTGCATTAAGTCTCGCCTTTGTAATCCCTAGTTAAAAGATTGTTGCAATAAAGGATAAATACTTAAATAGAAGTACTGGGGAAAGAAAAAATACTGACAAACGCATTGCGTAATTTTTTATAGGATATGGTGACAAACGAGCACACAGTCCATCTGATGGTAAGTGATTGCTGTGGCCCATAGACATTGCATATATCCTCGATTACGAATCAAAATGCAGACGCATTGTCACCCGTGAGGATTTAGATGGAACTCCTCGTTTCCAGTAAAATGGGTCCCCGATTAAGAATCATAATGCAGATACGTTGTCACCCCTTAGGACTAAGATGGAATGCCTCGTTTTTAGTAAAAAAGGGTCTCTGGTCTCTACACTCACCATATAAAACCGTCAGCATTAACCTCTCAAACACCAAGCGGCCAAATTTAACTGCTTCGATACTCCGTCAAAATTCAAGCGGTCAAATATGACCGCACCCACCAATAGCACTTTATATAAAAACTTATATTAAGAGACTATTATTCTATGAAGAAGTTAGGCATTATAGAATCAATACGAAATTTTCTGTCCTCTATTTGAATAAAAACACAGTTAGTCTTTGGATATAAATTTATATTCTACGACCATTTTCATTTGGATGTTGTTGTGTTGATTTTTTTTCTAGTGTTTTATTAGTGTTTTATTATAAAATTGTTATAAAAGTTTTTGTGTGAATATAATTTATCTTTTTACGTAAACAATTTCGAGTAATATATAGAAATAATTGTGACTTTCACGCTGCCGACATCCGCCTGGTATATATTTTTTTTTGTTATCTAAATACAATAAAATCTTTTTGTAATGAAGTAAAACATGACTTTTGTTTACCACACGATAGAGAATTATGTATAAATTTTAACATGCTAAACTTCTTCGTAGAAAAGTAGTCTCTAAATATATGTTTTAATGGTTTTAAGTGCTGGTAATGGGAATTTTACGGGAATTGAAGAGTTAGCATGCAAATATATAATTAGTAACTATAATTACGTGCCAGGTTATCGATAGAATTTATTTTTATAAGGTTTTTTTAGAAATTGATGTACTATTTGCTGGCCAGTAGCAAAATATTAGTTTTTTGTAACTTAGGAACCAGTGTTAGAACGTAGCAGATTTCTAAAGTATTTTTTTAATTTTTTGTGTCTGAATTTATGCGTTTTCTAAAGCATTATATTTTTGCAACAAATTGGAAACAAATTATCCCGTTTTATCGGCTACGGCTGGGTTGGTGTGAAGTTTTTCAAGATCAAGGAAAATTGGGATTTACCAGGCGCATGTGACTGCATGGGAATTTTATGGTAATTGAAGAGTTAAACTGACGTTTAACGCTCTCAAGGTTTACACCTTTATAATAGTACAAAGAACACCTTTATAATAGTACAATACTTTTGATCAAATGTATTTGTTGTATTCAAATATGAGTAACAACTGTAAAACTAAGAGGTGGTTTCTATGCATTTTGCATAATATGCGAAACCTATAAAAATCAACGGTTATTCTAATCACGTTTCTAACAACGTTAGAAACATGATCAGAATAACCGGATGACAGCACTGGTAATGCTCTATATACCGGCCGTGCCAATATTCCTCAGGAAAACTTCGCCGAGTACTGAAACAAACTTGTGTCCGAAGTCGAGTCTTTGCTGAACAAAGTCTCTGATCGGACTAAATCTAGGTCTGCTTAATACTCAAATAACACAAGTTTGCACATTTACCGCTTAAAAAAACCCTTTATCGTATCTCCTCAGTTTGAGGGCACTCCCTTTGTTGCCTCAGTCAGTTTTAGAACCTTTGGCGTCGACATATCAAGTGACGTGCAGTTGTGTCTTGGATACGGATAAACAAGTTAATTGGGAAGTGAACACTAACTATGAAGTTTCGCACAGTGTTTAAGTTTTTCATTTAGCAGGGAAAAACGCTACACGTCATTATGGAAGAGATTTCATCTATTTACAGCGACTTTTGTTCTGGAAAAATGTTGATTGACAAGTGGGGTTGCCTTTTCAAGCAAGGCAGAGACTCAATTGACAAAAATCAGCGCTCAGGCCGACCGATTACGGCGGCTTCCACAGACATTGTCAAAAAAGTGATTAAACTTGTTTTTGAGATGTTTTTCTGAAGAAAAAACAGATCGCTAAAACTCCTGGAGTAACATCTAAGACCTTTTAAAACATTCTCCATGACTATCTTCGAATATCCAACGTCAATGCAAGGTGCCAAGAACGCTAACAACTCTTCAAAAACAGCTGCATTTGAGCGTTTGCGCTAGATTTTTGAACTGTGTAGTGAGAGCAGGAATAAAATCATGAACCGAATTGTGACTCAGGATGAAACTTAGGAATTTTCTTCCTCGCACGGCTACTTTGTGGAGTTTACAAATAAATATGTATTAAAATCCGTGTGTCAACACAGCGAATTGGGTTTGTAGTAGTGATTAACTGATAATACGACGTAATTGCTTGTATATGTGCTCCCGACGACGATTATCCTCGTAACAAATAAGGTTGATTGAGGTCATTGAGCATAGTGCTTAGGTCCTCCTGCGATTCTGCCATAAGGACTATATCGTGTTTACGTAAGTTTCTTAATCAGAAAGATTTTTGTTAAATTGTCCCATAAGAAAGAGCACTGTTGCCTGAGATACAAGCTTATTGCTTAGATCAGGCACAGATGCAAATATATATTGTTAAAAAAAATTCCTGAATAAAGAAATTTTTATTATTATTATGGGGTATTAGTAGTGTATTCTCATCTGGTTGGGCTGAATAAATATATAAAAGGAAATGATAAATATACATAAATATATATTTCATATACCAACACAAATAAATAAATAATACATAAATAAATAAAAGCCCAACCAGATGGAGGCCCTCTGCAGGGAAGACCAAACGGCCGAGGGTTAGGGGGAAAGGGAAAGAAACTAGCGGACGATGCTGGCGGTATCGAGGAGCACCGCCTTCTGCATTTGAGCCTGGAGCGGTCCGCCACGTAGTCCCAGCCGCCTCAGATGACCCGAGAGGCTGACTGGGATTAGCCCGTTTGCAGAGACGACTACAGGAATAATTTCGGACGGCAGACCACCCCACATGTCGGTCATCTCGTGAACCAGGTCCAGATATTTTGTTCTTTTATCTGTTTCGGCTTTCACGAGGTTCTAGTCATACGGAAAAGGTAATGTCGACAAAAGTATCTTTGACTGTGCCCGGTCCATCAGCACAATATCAGGCTTATTCGCAAGAATAGTCCTGTCTGTGATGTGACCCGGTCCCAATAGAGCCTGGCGCGATCATTTTTGAGCACGGCTTCCGGCAAGTACTTGTAATACGGCAATTTCCGATCCACGAGTCCGTATTTCAGAGCAAGTTCCTGGTGAATAATTCTGGCTACTAGGTTGTGGCAACCGGAGATGACATGCCTAATTGACTCACCGTGATGGCGACAAGCTCGACAGATGTCGACGGTGCCATCCTTTAGGATGTATCTCCGATAGTTGTTGGTCTTAATAACCTGATCTTGTATTGCACAGATAAAATCCTCGGTTTCCCCGAAGCGGGGAATAAGGATCGAGGGGAAAGCTTGGGAAGCCAGTCGGGAACTTTGCAAGACGGTCTCAATTCTTTTTGGCGCCGCACTGGCAGTCTGTCGTATTATAGGCACCTTGGCGCTTCCAAATAGGTCACCAGCATTGGGTTCAGAGCCCTCACGACAGCCCGATTCCGCTTGCTTATGGCTATGCGGGGAAGTCACGGTCGATTTTCGAGATGCGTACTGCGCGTTTCCACAATTGCCTCTTCCAATGTACTGCTCATTTGCTCTACTTCCAGTTCCTGGGCGATTGTTCCATCATCGTTTGAATCAACCACAACTGAGGTATTCACGGTGGCATCAACGTCTGCCGTTTGCTCAGCAAGTTGTGGCACCGCATCCTCAGCCGCAGTATTTTCACCCGATGAAGGAACAGCCTCACGTCGTAGCCGTTTGAGTTCGGCGACATCAAATGTATTTGAGCGCAAGATATACCGAACTCGGTCTGCCAGGTTTTGCTCGGTAACGGTTACATATGGCTCCAGCTCAGCAAAAAAGTCCTTGCCCGATACGCAAAAACCTCCAGTTTCATCCCCTTTTGCCCTAAAATATGCCCGCAATGCGTTACTGTGCATCTGGATTGTCCAACGCATGCTGCGTACTCCACCAGTGGCGGGTGCCGATTGCTGGGTCCGCGAAGACCCTGCCAATACCAAGCCAGCTGGTGGGGATGATGGATGCGAGGGGCTGCTGGGTGGTCGTGCAGCACCTCGCGCTCGGTTGGCGGTTCACATGCTGTCGTGTTCAGCGGCCTGGCGACCTCCAGGCAGAGGCCCTTTGCGCGTTCTATTTAATTCCATCATACATTTTACAGGGCGTCATTTAACGGGAGACGCCCAGACCCAGCGTCGTTTCATGGTGAAGCCATGTGCACAAGCGGGCCTTTGCACCTTCAATTTTTTCCGCGGCACGGCATTAACACCTCTTGGCAAGATTCTGACTGACTGCGCTGACGTAGCGGTTTTGTCACATAACCGTCACGTCAACGGGCGATGGGGTCGTCACTTCCCTACGCCTTATTATTATTATTATTATTCGATCGACTTCGATATTCCGACAGTCAACTTGGCACCGCTGAAGGGACTGTAGCACCGTCCAAATTTCGACAGAATCAAAGGCTTTCGCACACACATACGCCAGGCAAAGTGGCAGATTTTACTCTTCGGTCTTCTGTACAATCTGCCGCAGGGTATGTATGTGGTCTATGGTAGTGAAGCCATTTCGGAAACCGGCTTGTTCGGGAGGCTGGAAGTGGTCGAGTCTGTGTGCGAGACGATTCGTAATGACTCTCGAAAACAGCACGTAGACGCGGCTCAGAATGGAAATTGGTCTGTAGTTCTTCAAGAGAGCGTTGTCGCCTTTCTTAAAGAACAAGACCACCGCACTTCTGCTCCACGATTCTGGAGTAGTGCCACCATGGAGGACGGAGTTGAAGAGCTTCTGAAGGACTTCAAGTACCGGTGTTCCACCCGCTTTCAGAAGCTCCGCTGTAATTCCGTCCTCGCCTGGGGCCCTGCCGTTTTTAAGGTGCTGTAGAGCCATTCTAATTTCGCTTAAACTGACGTCCGGGATATCATCGGAATAGTGTCGGATAAGACTTGCTCTTGGCTCGTTACTCACACTTGCGTGTGGCTCCAACGATGATGTGTACAGCTGCCCATAGAACCTCTAAATCTCACTCAAAATCTCAGGTGTCCCGGAAACGATGCTGCCACACTCAGTCTTCAGCTTTGACAGTTGGCTCTTACTGGCAGACAGATCCCTGTGCAAAGAATTTGGAGCCCTGGTTCCGCTCGATCGCTTCTTTAATACGAGCAGTATTAAAGTTGCGTAAGTCTCGCCGCATGCATTTGGAGATCTGTCAAATCTGTTGACGATTGCAGCCTCATCTCCCGTCTAACAGCCATGAAATTAATAGGGTCTAAATATATATAGGTCTCACAGAATAATAGGGTGAAATAGCAATTTAATGCTGCTGTGTTTCGCGTGGTGATATTTTTACTGGAAATGAAGCATGTCTTGAAATTCAGGGGTGACAATGCATCTGCATTTTGATTCATAATTGATAATAGACGAAGATATCGATGACATGCACTTAACATCAGGTGATAATACACCTTTGTATCTCACCCTTACCCTATAAAAATACACGCAAACTCACACATCGAGACATATAAAGTACCTCCTGTTTACCTATTATACTGAAAAGTCTTTGAAACTGCAATGACAATTTGAAAGAAGCAAACCACAATCAAACATATATTACAAGAATAAACGTAAATTATTAATTTTTATGATGTAATTGACCGTTATGTAAACTTATGCATCTGATTACATTTTGTCCACTGGAAAGTTTAAGTCTGCAATTCAATCGGACCTACCTTTTCATTAGAGCAATGTTCAACTGCCCTAGTTTTTTCTAGTTTTTAAACGCAACTGATTATCGTGAGGAAACCTCAAGGGTTCGAATCCTAGGTTGGGTCAATATCTGGAATTCAAAAAATTGGCGATGTTACAGCCCCGTGCCTCGGAAAGCACGATAAGCCGTTGGTCCTGCTCGTGTTCTCTCTTCGGTCGTGTAGGATTTCCGTCTCATCGAACTATGAGTGTGAGGGAATAGAGAGTGCACCTGCGCTCGCGCATTCACTTGGGCACTATTATCCTGTCCTGCGCAGATGGTTAGTCTCGTTAGAGACTGGCTGCCATGAACAAAATTCGGTCTTGAGAACATTATGAGAACAATGTTAGATGATTCAGATTTAGATTAAGCTCAAATCTTTAGCAGACCTTAAAAATAGGAGGAGGTTTGCAATTCAACTGTAAGTTTTTTTGTAAGTGATATCCGCTACCTATGTCAAATGTAAAGCGATTTATAGGTTATACTCCAGGAGTGTCCCGTATAAATTTAGAAAAAAATATTCAACACTAATGTTGCGATGAATTTTTTAGTGTTACTATTTAGACGATATTAAGATTTTGATTTACCTTCGTCCACTTAAGGGTATAAAAATATATTAAAATGAAAACTTTCTTCTAAATGTGAATTTTTTTCCTATTAATTCTTTGACGTCACCTTTTACCCTTTACTAAAGGTTATTTTCTAAAACACATAACAACCAGAACCGGAATTTAATTTTAATCTGCCTCATTAGAAATGTGCGTATTGACTAAGTCTCTAGCTACTATCACGCAATCAATAGACTCACTAACCAGTATGTCTCAAACGAATGTAAGTTTAATTTTAATTAAATATTAATATATTCATTTAAGTTCACTTGTTCCAGTAATCTGGTTTCCATAAATCTATTCTCAGGAGCACAACGTCAGTATGATTCCTGCAGAGACTGCAAATGCGATGAACGTGATTCCATTCGTTGAGGAATTTACACAAGAGACTCGTACCATGTGATGTATATAGACGCCAGCACTATAGCGTAACAAATTTTAGAAGATCCTTGCGTAACCAATTTAAATGAAAATGATGTGAATGAAATTAAGCTCACAATATTCTCATGCAGTTTACAAGGTTCAACCAACATTTTATCAAATCTGTATTTAAAAAAAATTCTCTATCGTAATTTACGAAAATGTTACCAAATATTCATACCATTTGCATCGAATAAAATTGGACTCAATTGAATTTATAAGTAGTAGAGCCACAATGCAGCTGCATTGTGTAATGGCGGTAACACGAATGAGTCGACTTGACCAGGGTAGAACCACGTTCTTAGAGAATACCGACGTAAAATAGCAGCAAAATGCTGATGTGTTTTGTATGGTGAGTGTAGAGAATCGGATACCCGTTTTACAGGAAACGAGGCATTCGGTCTTAGTCCTCAAGAATGACAACGCATCTGCATTTTGATTCTCAATTGAGAATAAATGTAGGTGAGTATGGGCCAAAGCGTCCACTCACCATTATGACGACGCATTATTATTAATAATAAATAATAAATATTATGATTTTTAATTCAGGATAAAAATTCTATTGGCTACAGCATCCTTTGAATGGACCGTGTGCTAGTTTGTCAACCTGATTGTATGTTTTAAAAAAGTGTAAATATAAGCACACTCAATTTTTTTTTCAAGCCATAAAACAGATTGTTGTTAAAGAAAGGGTGTGCAATTTATTAATCTCAAGAAAGGGCAAATGTTTATCGTTATATGCGAACTTTTATAAACCAAAGGCTGTGCTTTTAGTTGATGCATAAGCTATTTTTATTAGGCTCATAAAATTTTGTTTATACAAGCCAAAATTTAATGAAAGTTTTACATTATATAATAATTGTATACTCATCATACATATTAATATAGTACGAATAGTATGAGCACATTGGCGAGAAAGTAGTTTACCTTCATTCAGATACGCTTGCATATTGTTCTCTCGCCAAGGGTTTCCAAGGAAATTTCTGTAAGCCATTACTACCACCTCTGCACGGAGAGGACGATACACTGGCTCACGCAAAATAGTTTTGCAATATACGCTGAAAGCGGCGATCTCGCCTATTCATTATAGTTTGCATGAACAGCTATCTACAATCAGTGGAAAGAGCAGTAATAAAAAAAAAGAAAATTTAAAATAATTGCAAACAGATTACCTTGTAAATTAGGTCCACTATAGATGAGATTGTTCAGTGAACGGCCTGAACTCTATTTATGACTCGGGTCAAGAACCATGCGAAGTTTAGTAGTGGTCTTATCTGCAAGCAAAACGTGGTGTGCTATCGTACACAATATAGCGATTGTCACTGTAAACAAGTAGCGCGGTTTACAATTTGACATGAGTGACGAAGAGCCGAATAGTTCTAGTCGGAGTAGTGAGAGTTGGAGTTATATATCTAAAAGACCTTAAAGTAAATTTGATGAGTTTTTCGACATAATTCATGCATTCCAAATTGATTTGTGTAAATTATGCCAACATAAAAAGGAAAGCTTAAGGAAGCATCTAATATCTTTCCACAAAAAGGAATCACAAATATTTCTTCCCGAAAAGCCAAAATTAAGTGGAGATATCACAAGTTTTTAAATACCACCGGAAAAAGTGGACAGGTAAGAAAAAATATACTTATCACACAATTACATAACACATATATTATGTAACTAGCGGCCGCCTGCGACTTCGTCCGCGTACAATATCTGATTTCCTATGAGATTTTGAAATTTTCTCGCTGCAAAAGTCTTACCTAAGTATAAAGAGGCTATATAGGTAAAGCTTAATTATGCAAGTATTTATTATTTAAAACTAATAAAGTAAATGTCGATCTTCTTATCTATACTTTAAAATATAGGACTTGCATGTAACCATTTTACCCCAAATGCCGATTTTCGTGTCTCTAACTTCAAAAACGTAGGACTTTCATACAAACTTCCAACTCTCATTTCACTCCCTTAGGGATAGATTTTCTCAAAACCGTTTCTTAACTGATATCTATGCCATAAAAGGAACCTACCTTACAAACTTCAAGTTTGTATGTTTTATAGTTCCTGAGATATCGTTATAGTCAGTCAGTGAGTGGTAGTTATATATATATATATATATATATATATATATATATATATA